CTCCCACCTCCCGCAGCTGCGCGCCCGGACCCCCGCCCCAACTGCCCGCGGGCCCGGCTGTCTGCTTCCAGAGGGAGCCGCGTGGATGCCGGGCGGGGGATCCGTGCGGCCGCGGTGAGGTGGGTGACGTGAGGTGGGGCGGGCGCCGTCGCCGTCCGGGCAGCCTCGTAGCTCCCGGTGACACGCTCGCGGCTTCCCGGTTTTGTCGAGGGGCGGGGCGGGGGCGGGGGGCGGCAAATCGTAACCGAGCACGCCGCGAAAGGGGCGTACAACCACCTGTGAAGCGCGGGAAGAAGAGGACCGCGGAATCCGCCTCCAGTGTGCGTCTGACCTGGAGAGAGTCCCACAGGCGAGGTGAGTGGAGGTGCCGGGGCTGGTGCAGAGCCGCAGCCTGCGCCCCCTGAGCCGAGCACGGGTTGCAGGAACAGGGACCCGGCGGTGACAGACGCCGGGTGTGCAAATTCACAATGCAGAGGGAAGGGGGTTGGCCACCCCCTCAAAACTGACGAAGTGGACTTCAGCTGGAGCCGCGTGCGATAGGGAGCGGAGGTTAGGAAGAGAAAACCGGCCTGGACACGGGGGGGGGGGGGGCACCAAAGGGAGCCCCCAAAGAGACCCGCAGCCTGGGGGGGGAAGGGGGGGGCGGGGGGGGGGGGGGGGGGTCACCAAAGGGAGCCACCAAAGAGACCCGCAGCCTGGGGTGGGAATGCTGGGGCTGGAAGGGAGAATACCTGCGCGGAGAGAATGAATAAGCAGGTAGGAAGCTCATCTGATTCAGATCGCAGTCACTTTTGGGATCACTGCCAAGTGTGGAGTCCTGAAGGGAAATCTGTCAGTCATCTCAGCTTTTATCTCCTTAAAAACGCGATTTTCAGGTACAGCTCCGTGAACTTTCGGTCCCGATATTTCATATGAAAGGATGTGACCTCATATGACAGTCATGTCAGGATTAACGATATATCGCATAGGTTGACACCCTTTAATTAAAAAACAGGACTTTGTCTAAGTCAGCAATTAATTCCCTACTTAAAATTTGCTACTTAAAGAAAACAAAATAAGCAGTCCAGAGGAACTGTTGTTGTTCTGCTGGAAAGATGGACCAACGCTTTCACAAAACAAATAAAAAGATGGCTTTGCTTTAATTGTCATGGTTCTCTCGTGTCAAATAGTGGACTAGCTTTTCTGGAAAAGATCTAGATTTACTATTTTGCTTACACTTTTAGATCAGTGCAATTACTGCTTTTTTGTTAATCCATGACAAATTTCTGTTGTAACCGTAAGAAGACTGATGTAATTTTGTATTTGTATGCTTATTTTTCTTTACAGGTGATTTAGTTGGCACAAAAGTCTTCTTTGAAGAACTTTGTACAATATTGGAGGATGGCTGAAGCAGTTTTGATAGATCTCTTTGGTTTGAAATTGAACTGTCAGAAAAACTGCCATCAGACATTACTGAAGACATTGAATGCTATCCAGTACCACCATGCTACTAAGGCCAAGTTCCTTTGCATCATGTGTTGCAGTAGCATCAGCTGTGAAAGGGATAGTGAACATGATAAGTGTGAATTAGAAACAAGCAATGGATTATCAGCTCTCTTAGGAGAATATGAGATTGTTAGCAATCTCAGCATGGCTGCCTCTTTGTATACCATTAAACAAAAAATTGATGAAAAAAATCTGAGTAGCATTAAGGTAATTGTCCCCAGGCACAGGAAGTCATTACTGAAGGCTTTTATTGATCAACTCTTCACTGATGTTTACAATTTTGAATTTGAAGATTTACAAGTGACTTTGAGGGGACACCTTTTGAAACAGTCTGCTGAAACAAATGTAATCACAGCTCAAGAACTAGAAGAAATCCAGAATGAAATAGAAATATATTTGAGAAGTCTACCAGCACTGAAAGGAGAATTAACTATTATCACATCTCCTTCCATCCCAGGTATGTCAAATACCATCGGTTGTTTTTACTGTGTACATGAAAAACTAGCTTTTCTTCAGAGGGTGTTCACCTCTTTTTTTCCCTCATTTCTTTTGTTGACTGTTGTGGGCTTATTCCTCATTAGTATCAGTGGCAACATAGGTTGTCATGGATGGCCTTGTGTTGCCAGGGGTGTCAAGGGATGACCCCTTCAAAGTCACTCTGAATAAAACTTTGCTTTATGCAAATTCAGCTTTAAGACAAATTCCCCAGCCCTCCTTTACAATGAGATTTATGACCCTGCAAATCTTCTATTTAGAAATTCTGAAACTTCAACTCATTGGCACCTTCACAGAAGAGGGAAATGTAAAATAGTCAATCTTACTTTTTGGTAAACAGTATTTCCTGTGAGCTGTATCCTGTAGGGTATAACAAAGACAGATGGCGCAAAAGATACCCTTTGAAGAGCAATAATCCCATAGGGAAGGTAAAATAAACATAAAGCATTATGTAATAAAAACATGGAGATACAAAGTGCTGTTAAAATTAAAAGCAAGAAAAAGGCAAGTTGAAGTGATCAGGGAAGGTCTAATTGAGAGACTGGGTTTTGTAATGCTTTATAGTCTTTTTTAGCATCTTTTTAATCTTCACTGCTTATCTTCAACAGATATTTTCATACATGGATTTACTACAAGAGCAGGTGGGATATCTTATATACCAACTCTTAGTTCATTCAATCTCTTCAGTAGTTCCAAAAGGAGAGATCCCAAGGCAGTTGTTCAAGAAAATCTGCGTAGATTGGCAAATGCTGCAGGATTTAATGCAGAGAAATTTTACCGAATAAAGGTATAGTATTGCTTCATATTTTGAAAGACCTAAAGTATGTTTTTGACTCTGCTAGTAACTACATGGACTTTAAGCTATTTAACTTTTGCATCTAGGATATGCTGTGGTTATTTTTCTTAGATTTATATACCATAGCCAAAACATCAGTTCTCTTTCTTTGTCTATATATATGTGTGTATATATACTTTTTTTTTTCATCTGGAGCTCCTCAATTATAAAAGTAAGTTAATTCTCAGAGAGTATTGTATCACTGCCCTTTTTGATTTAGAAGGAAGGTGACCAGTAGGAGAGAAAGGCCATATTTTGTAAATCCACACTAAGAGGAATTAGGGTCATAACTGTTGAGAATGTCTTGTGCCTTACAGAATTCTAGCTTTACTTGAGTCTAGGAAAAGTAAAAATATTGATTTGGTAGAAAGTGCTACAAGTAGAGATTTACTCATCTCTAGTGAGAGGTGTTCTCGATAGACTACATTGAATTTTTAAATGTTAAAGTCTGCTTTTCTTTGAATAAAATATGCAAATGTTATAATATCAAAAGCTCAATAAGTTAAATGACAGGTAAATTTAGTATTTTACTATGTACAGAAGTGGTATATTTAATGAATGCTCATAATCTTACACTGGTTATATAATTTTGTAATGAAGTGAATACTTTCAGGAAAGCTTGCAGTATGAGAAATCCCACTTTCAAAATATTTTTATCACACATCTTTGGTATTAGACCGATCATGCCAATGACGTCTGGATTATGGGAAGGAAGGAGCCTGAATCTTATGATGGAATAACAACGAATCAGAGAGGAGTCACAATAGCGGCTCTTGGTGCTGACTGTATACCAATAATTTTTGCAGATCCTGTCAAAAAAGCATGTGGGGTTGCTCACTCTGGTATGTGTATTTAATTAATCATTTACTATTTTACTAACTTTGTAGTACAGGAAAAAGATTATAATTTCTTTCTGGTGGGCATGATAAACAACTGAACAGTTAATTACATTACATTGTGATAAGTGTAATGGGGGAGTTCAGCGTATTGTTATAGGAGCGTATTGATATAGGGAGTAGCTAAATCAAATTATATGAATCAGAGTAGAATTTCCTAAGGAGATGGTACTCTGGTTTATTCCTGGGGAGTTTATACGATTTGGCTAGGTGCCAGTGTTTCTCAGCAGAGCTGCTATTAACAGTTTTGGGAGACATAATCCAACATTGCAGACTAAGTATCTTTGGCCCTTGAAATTCTTTTTTTTTTTTTTCCTTTTTGTCTTTTTTACTGACCGGTAACGGGATCGCAACCCTCGGTGTTGTGCCAGTACCAGGGACTGGCAACGGGATCGCAACCCTCAGTGTTGTGCCTGCACCACGCTCAGCCAGTGAGCGGGAACCGGTCTCGACGTGGGATCCGAACCCTCAGCAGGAGCACCGCCGCGCTCCCAAGCGGCGCACTCTCCAGTGCGCCACCGGGCCAGCCCAGCCCTTGAAATTCTTAATGCTAGTAGCACCCCCAGTCATTGTAATAACCAACCAAACAATACAAAGTAAAACACTTCCATACTTTCAGAACACTCCCTGGGAAAGTGGTACTACCTCTGGTTGAGAACCCTTGAAGTTGAGGCAACAGGGAATAAAAATATTAGGTATGTTGCAGAAAGGTACTCACACAGGTAGAGCAGCATATGTAAAGGCAGGGAGGCAATAAAAAGCAAGGTATGTTTGGAAAACTGTGTTTAGTTTAAATAACTAAATGTATTTAACTGTAACTACTATCTAAAGATAAGACCGAAAAAGTATTTTTAGAAGCTATATTGTGTTAAGGTTATGGAATTTTGTTTTCTGAAGCTGTTTTAAGATAGTTAGATTATCCAGTGGTTATGATTCTATGTGAAATGAGAGATGATCTTTAGAATTTCCTTCTACTTGTAAAGCTATGTCTACTTTGCTTTTTAGTACATAGATAAAGTAGAAAGTGGCATATTTTTCCTTTGACCTAGCTAAAATAATTGGAAATTGAGTACAAGTCAGGTTTACCAAATGACATTATCAAAAAATCTTTAAAATTTGAGTCTTAGCCTCTGGATATAAAAAGGTAATATTATTTGTTACTTCTTAGGTCTTAAAGCATTTAGTTTAAAAATATCCAAGATAAAGCAGTCAATATGATATTATAAATGTGAACTTTCAAGTCATTAATAAAATAACCTCAAAATAGAATACAATTAGATACCTTATACACTTATTATTTTATCAGATATCAAAAAATATAAAATCCTTCTATGGACTACTTTAATAAAAATCTTTTAAACAGATATGTATATGCGCATACGCATATGCTGTAGGAAAAATCAAAAAGAGAGGGGGTGGATGAATTACAGGTGAGAGGAAGGTTAAGGAAGATTTCTGAGGAAAAGAGTAGCTGTTGTCTGTAGAAAAGCCCTGACGGTCTCTCTCTTTAGTTCAAAATGCCTATATCTAGTTGCTTTTCTCTGAACATTACTGCCTGCATATTCATAGGTACCTCAAAATCATCATGTCAAAAACTCAACATTTTTTTCCCCTAAATCCTTCTCTACCACTTAGGTTTCCTATTTTGGTTATTGGTATCTCACCCACTTACAGACCCAGCTAGAAACCTGAATTTTTGTTTTGTTCTTCCCATAACCACATATCTAGTGGGTTAACAGTGGTGTTGAACCTATCACCTAACTATTTCTTGCTTTTGTCATCTCATCCCTTTATCTGGAAACACTGATCTGTTCACTTGAGTGCCTAGTTTTAGAAGGATATGCTTATGGAGTACTGACAGAAGAAGTAAGGGGACTCCTTGCTGGCCAATCAGTTCAGCTGAATCTAACTCAGATATATGGAATAAGGAAAAAATGCAATATTTTTAGGTTTCTGTCTTTGGCAACTGGAAAGGAGCAGGAGTAAAGAAAATGGTTTAATCTTAGAACTCCAGGGATCCAATGCAGAGGAAGAGAAATACAACTGGTAAGGGAACAATAATCTGGCCGAGTGGGAAGGGTGTGAAAAGGGACTGTTAAAATAGAATAGATGTATTTTAGGGGAGAGATGAAAACTACAAAACACTGCTGAGAGAAATGAAAGAAGACACAAATAAATGGAGAAAAATCTCATGTCCGTGGATTAGAAATTAGGAAAATGCGAATCACAACCATGATGAGGTATTGTCTCACGTTCATTAGGATGGCTAATATTAAAAACAAAAACAAAACACCAAAATAACAACTGGAGCCCTTGTGTACAGTTAGTGGGAATGGAAAATGGTGAAACTGCTATGGAAAACAGGATGGTGATTCCTCAAAACTTTATAAAAAGAATTACCATATGATGCCTCAGTTTCACTTGTGGGTATGTATCCAAAAGAATTGAAAGCAGAGACTTGAAGAGATATTTGTACACCCATGTTAATAGCAGCATTATTTATAATAGCCAAGAGGTAGAAACAACCCAAATGTTCATTGACATAGAATTGTTATGCAAAATGTGGTATATACATATAGTGGAGTATTATTCAGCCTTAAAAAGGAAATTCTGACAAATTCTACAACGTAGGTGAACACTGAGGACATTATACCAAGTGAAATAAGCCAGTCACAAAAAGACAAATATAATCCTACTTATATGGGGTATCTAGAGTAATCAAATTCATAGAAACAGAAGAATGGTGGTTTTCAGAGTCTGGGGGAAGGGGGGAAATAGAGAAACAGGAAATGGTTAGAGAGTTTCAGTTTTGCAAGATTAATAAAATCTGGAGATTATTTGTACACAAATGTGAATGTACTTAACACTACTGAACTGTACACTTAAAATGGTTAAAATGGTAAATTTTATGTTTTTCACCACAATTTTTAATATATTTTTAATTATTTATTTTTTTTGTTTTATTGTTTATTATTGGCATATTCATTATTATAGTCGACCATGATTTTTTTAAATGTGGAAAAAAAAGTGAGAGAGAAGACAAACTATAATCCCAGTGGAAACTAAAAGTATAGAACATTTTTAAAAGGAAGGGGAAAGAAACTTCCATTAAATGTCTCTTCTGTGTTAGGTGCTTTGTATAGTACATCTCATTTAAAAAACATACTATAATGTAATAATTTTGTGAATCATTTATATTTCTGGACTTTGAAAAATACACAAACTGAATCTGCTCATTTTTAACTTAGACATAAATTCAGATGAAATTTTGTTATGTTTTAACTTTTTAAATCTGTTTTTCTTCCTATTTATCAGGTTGGAAAGGTACTTTGTTAGGTGTTGCTATGGCTACAGTGAATGCTATGATAGCAGAATATGGCTGTAGTTTGGAAGACATTATTGCTGTACTTGGACCATCAGTAGGACCTTGCTGTTTTACTCTCCCAAAAGAATCAGCAAGTGCTTTTTATAATCTTCATCCCACATGTGTACGACTGTTTGACTCACAAAATCCCTGTGTTGACATCCGTAAAGCCACCAGGTATGTATGATTTCATTCTAGAATTGTAAGTTTGGTTATTGCTTATTTCTACTAATATGAAAATTATTTTAGAGAACAATTAGTAACGCCAAGAAAAATTTAGGTGGCAGTTACTTAAGTAGCTGACATACACAGGTACGCAAAAACTCATTTTAAATAGGAAAGCTATTTTAATTTCAGCTTGAATATCAGAAATTTTTCTGTCTGATATCTCCTATTGATTTAAAAGTGAAGGAAGAAACAGTTGGCATTTAATTTTAAGAGATCTTCTTAAACTTCATATAGAAAAGTTGTCATGTACTTCACAGTCATTCCTCAGGTAAATTCTCCTAAATGTAATAAAGTATCATGTAGCTGATATTGTAATATTTTTCTTATTCTCTAATTAACTAGATGAATATATTTCTTAGCAAAAACATTAGTTAATATAGGTATAGAGTTACTTTCAAGTCTTTTATGGTCCCCTGCATTTTTGAATTTATAAAGTTTTACTTTTAATATCTATTGAAAATTATTTGTCATTTCTACAAAGGATAATTTGTCTGATTTTAAACGTGTTTCTATTCTCGTCAGCAAAACCTTATTCAGATTCTGTCCATTTAGTACATAAGTAAAAAGGATTGAAATTGATTCTTAAATGTGATTGTGGAATCAATCATCACTAATTTGTAGTCATATTTCATATCATAAAGTGTTTATGGAGAAGCAGGTTTTTTCTGTGAAAAGTCTGGTTACTAGGAGGAATGGAGATGGAAGAGCCAGATAACTAAAAAGCATATTCTGCCTGAACCACATGAATATTGTCTACAAATACCATGGTAACTTTAGAAGTTTCTTCTTAAATAAATACTTGACTTTGATTACCGAATTCTGTACCTAGATTATGTCTTCCGGACAATATGGAAGGTTGTATAGTCATATAGGAACTTAGATGATAAATGACGATAAAATCTATCATCTCCTGACTAGTACATGTCCTGTAAGTGAATAACAATTTGTGTTGTTCCAAGCAGATCTTCCACACTAGTAACCATAATTTTTTCATATTGTTTTGGATATTGGTAAAATAAACTCTTGTTATCTTTTGAAAAATCGTTATCCTAAGGATTCTTCTAGAACGGGGAGGAATCCTTCCACTGAATATTCAGGACCAGAACCAAGATCTCAACCTCTGTACATCCTGCCATCCTGACAAGTTTTTCTCCCATGTCCGAGATGGCCTTAATTTTGGAACACAGATTGGCTTCATATCAATTAGAGAATGAAGTACGGTAGGTTCTCTCTCTTCTCTCCAATCTCTGTCTCTCTCTCATCCCTCTCTCTTCCACTCCCTCCCTCTCTTCTTCCTCTTTCAGCCTTTCCCTGCCTCCTTTAAAAAGATAATAATCAATTATATTTAACTTTACTCTGTTTTTCCTACAGGTAGAATTAATGTAATAGTAGTAGAAAAGTTCGTTTTCAGTAACATACTGTATTATAAAGAGCGGCCACTCTTTTCCCTAGTTAATAAAGAATGGTCAGGCAGGCTTATGTTAAAAGTATGAAAATAAAATAACTTAGTCTTTAAAAAATCCTGTATGTATGTCCTTTATCTCTACTATGTACTTGACATCCGTACATTTTCGGTCATAATATTTTTATACTTTTTATTTTTTATTTTTGAGAAGAAATCTTGGCATAACAATTCTAAATTCTAGAATAATAAGGAATGCTCACATATACAGACTGGCTTGGTTATCAACTATATTCCAATTGATTATCTGTAGCTGGAGTTGGCCAAATTTTTCTTTGAAGGGTTAGATTGTAAATATTTTAGGCTTTGTGGGACATACAGTATCTGTCAACTACTCAACTCTGCTATTGTAGAGAAAAAGCAGACACTGACAATACAGAAGTGAATCTGTATGTCTGTGTTCCAGTAAAACTTTATTTATAAAAAACAAGTGAGGGGCCAGATTTAGCCTATCAACTATAGTTTGCTGACACCTAATCTACAGTCATAGAGCAAGACTGAGTGTAATTTCATTAAAATAGTATTTATTAGAAATGTTTTTTTAGAGTTTTACACAAATATTTCATGACAGTAATTTAGCAGTGCTTTTTTAGCATATATGTAATTTTCCCTAAGGTTACTTTTAATTGAATTAGTCTTTACAATGTCTTGAACTCTTTAATGTATAAAAAACTTTAATAGACTTTAATGATTCTCACCTTGATATTCTGACAGCACTAGTGAAGATCTCATATTTGATTTATGTGTATTTTACAGATACTTGGCTGGAGTTTTGCATAATGTTTCCTGCCTCTTTCCTCCTCTTTCCGAACTGACTGCAAGAGAGAAATTTAGCTGTTTGATTTACTTAAAGCCAAAAGGATTACAATGGATAATTCATCTTTAGGGTATATTTTAACTATTACCCAAAGCCAAGTGATTTATATTTGATTTAATAATAACTGACAAAAAATCAATATGATGTAGTTAATATGTTTTACAGATGAGAATTATTCTTAAAGTTTGTCTTCCTGTGTATTACATAAATCAAGAATAGGTCTGTTCAGTATTTATTGAGTACCCTCTTTTGTCAGGCATTCTGTTATGCGTAGGTGAATCAAAGTTAATAAGACTTTTTCTCTATGAGTCTAATGCAGTGGAGGAGATAAACACTTCTACAACTTAAACTTAATTTAATAGCGGTAGAAGAGTACATAAGGAGGAAGGGTTAATTTTACCTGGAAGGCAGGAAAGAGAAGGTATTACAGAGAAAATCACGTATCACGTGGTCCTGAAAGATGTACAGGCTTTTGACAAGTAAAGAGTAACCATAACAGGAAGAGGGAACACAATGAACCAGGACATGAAAACTATGAGAGTGTGTAACATGTTTTAGAGAGAGAAGGGTGTAGGTAGGAGTTGGGACTAGAAAAACAGGTTGGAAACAGGTTATTAAGGGTCTCAAGTGTCGTGTCAAAGAGTTTGGAGTTTATTTTCCAGGCAATGAGTAGGCATCAAAAAAAAAGGTAGGGGAGTGCTTTTATTTCCTTGGCATCATATTTAACAGAATGGATTCAAATTGTGAGAGACCAAAGCAGAGAGAAAAATAAGGGGCAGTCAAAATATTTCAAAAAAGAAATCATGAGGACCAATGAAGAGGCAGTGGAAATTAAAATGGAGAAGAGAGTAGAAGGATTAGAGGGACTTTTCAGAGATAGAATCAATAGATCCTGTTACTAAATAATGGAAGTAAGAGGTGAGGAAGAGTGGAGAAGTCATTAGTGACTCCAAGATTCCTGTTTGGCTGACTACCAAGAGCCAAAGGAAAGAAGGGCTTGGAACAAGGGAGAAGGATATTGATGTTAACTTTACGTAGAATGAGGTACATCTAGATGGAAATATTTGGCCAACAATTAGAAATACAGACCTAAAAATTAAGAGAGAGGTTGGGATAAAGACATAGATTTAAAAGTTGGCTATGTGAGATGATTCTTAAGTCTGTTGGTACAGACTGAATTAACTAGGCAGAAATCAGGGTGAGAAAAAAGGACGTCCAAGGATGAAATCTCATAATACCTGCATTTGCAGAACAAGAAGCTGAACCAGTAGAAAAATTTATCATAGAAGTAAGAAAAAAAATAGGGTATAGTCATTTTGAAGAAGCCAGCGTAGGCAGGAAGTACTCAAGGAATCTTCAGGGATAAAATAAAGTGAAAACTGAGAAGAAACCAAGTGGATTAATTGTATTGAAGTTACTCTGTAGGCAGTGGTGGCTGAATCAGATTTCAGTGCATTAAGGAAGAGGATGCATAGGTGTCAACTCTTTTTTGACAGTATTAACTAGAGAAGAGAAAAGGCTGGGGACTGTATCTTGAAGGGATTCTTTTTTTTGGATGAGTAGTTTTGAGTATGTTTGTAGGCTACTTTTCATTTGGGAAAAGCATAGTATGTATTTTTAACGTAAGTCGTCAGATTGCATCTTAAAAAGATTTCTTGTTTCATACATTATTTCCTACATGTATATGCAGTAGAATAACTGCTAATAATATTTGAATATTTGTTTGATATTTACAAAGGCTTTTCACCTACATTACCTCATTTTACCTTTACAGCTACTCTGAAATACATAGGTCAGATATTATCCCTTTTATTCAGATGAGCAAACTGATCCTCACTGAGGTAGAGGTGAAAATTACATAATTTGCGGTAAAGTAAGAATTGAACACGTATTTTGCGACTCCAAATCTTTTAGATTTTACAGTTAATCAAAGCTACCTAAAAAAAAAAAAAAAAAGCTACCTAAATTTTATTTTAGATTTTTATTTTCAACTTTGTTGACATCATTTATTCATACATTCAGTCAAAATTTTGTTGAGGCTCTGAGATAGGTTAAAAAAATACAGTTGTAGCCCTCAAGATGTTTAATATCTAGTGAAAAGTAGCAGTCAATAAACTTGCCATTTCAATACTGTGATACGTATTGTGAGGTTGCCACAATCTGATACCTTGTTTACTTAAATTCATCTGTGCCAACCATAGCCCAGTTTGAAATTTAAATAAAATACCTCATTTTTCTCATTCAGGGAAGGCATTAAACAAAGGCATAGGATAGAAATTTCAAACTCATGCAAAATATTCCTTTGTTTAATGATAACAATAAAGATTAAGGAATAATTTCACACATTGAGAAAGTGTGATAGTTTTCTAATTCTTTACTGTGCTTTATTTTGTTTGAAGTTTCTAAGTTTACAGAGTATTAGACAGCCACATTTCACTTTATATACCACAACATTCCAAAAACAAATAAATTATTTTTGATTATCTATGATTTTGGATAATCTGTGCCAAAGAATATAATGAAAAGTTGTCTCCTTACTCTTTTACTCAGTGAAGAGTATTGGTTCAGTAACTCAGAAACAGAACTGTTATGTTGTTGAATAATCATATCATTGTCTCTACAGGATCCCTGTTGCTCTCAAGCATTTGTACATAGGTTTTTAAAACTTTTAGGGTACAACGATGATTCGTAGTAAGTTAAGTTTTGTTTTTAATCTAAGCACTGCTACTATCTGCATATAGGAAATATTGATTGCCATTTTATTAATAAAAGGAATTAAGTTTGTAAATAAAATGAGAGTTCATGACATAGGCTATACTCCAGTGCTTTATAATCTTACCACTAGGACGCAGTATTTCTACAAATTGCTCTGCTCTGTTTCTTGGCGTAAAATTTAACCAGTCTTAATCTCTGTATTTACTTGTGTAAGTATATATATATATATATGGGGGAGGAGGCATTTAAAGTTAGTGACTGTATTTCTCTTACTTTAGGTGCAACATATTGTAGTTCAAGTAGACAAAAGCATTTAGGAATTCTCACCCACCTTGATCCCACTTCTACAGAATCTCTAGTAAACACTTTTTTGTAAGTCTGGAGTTGGAGGGAAAACTCAAAGAAGCTTATTCTGTGTCTCATAACAAAAACACAAATAATATCCATGGATTCAGAATCTGTAATATGAGATAACAGTGACGTGTGAGTTACATCATTTTATATCTCAAAGTGGGATTTGACATTTGTTTTCATTTGGTTGTCCTAAATTTATACTTAATAATTTATCCATCTTACTTTTTGTGTGAAGCTTTAGAGAATGCTACCAACTTATGGAAGTCCAGCACTTTAAAGAAAACATTGCATGTGTGTTTGTGTGTGTGTGTGCTAGATGGCAAGTAAGAAATGTGTGTGTTTTATGAAATATAGTCTCTTTGCCCTAGCTAATGTAAATTCATATGCACAAAATGCATTGGATGCAGTGGAATCATAGATTGCTGTCTATAAATTTTTTATAAATTGTTAAATTGTGCAGTAAAGAGTGGGAAGCATGGTCCATATGCTTACTGGATGTGTTTATGGGAACCTGGTCTAGGGCACATACGTTTCCATTGTAGACAGCGTTTTTAAATTCGTTATTTCAAAGATGAGTCAGATGCTGTAAGCCATGCATTGTTCTGTGCTAGGTCAATACTTAATGAAGGAAGAAGTAATCTGCTAGTACTGCTTTTTCCAGATTAACACATTTAGTTTGAACTTACAATGATTACATGTCAACTGTGTTGAGACTGACTTTTCATACTGTCCTTAGTTGCATTTTCTTTGCAGAGAAAGAAATGCTTACATCACATTCGCTGTGCCCTTGTGCCAGGTGTCTAAGGTAAACTGTGCCCATTCTGTATGTGGAGCAAGCTTTTTTGTTTTACTCAATTCTCAGAAGGCTGGGGTGTCCAGTTACTGTAAACAATTAAAATTTCCAGCCGACTATAGCTTAAAACATCATATTCCTTTCTAACAACAAGAAAAAGAGTACTCTCATTTCTACAAATTCATTTGTAGAAAATAAATTTGCTCATGATGACAACTGAATTTTTAATATCCTTTATTTTCTTAATTCTTACAACTTTGCATCACACATTGCTTCAGTTTCATTTCTTCATGCTTCCCTATTCCTTTACTTTCCTTAAGCCTGTGTTTTAGGGTTGTATTTTCTTATCCCCCATCATCTTTGTTTTTATATTTGATATTTCATATTTCCTATTCACAAGATAACTTCATTCTTTGAGTTTTCTACTTTTGAATACATATCCAGACTTGGTTAAAGAGTTGCTTGTTGGGCATATACTATGACCCCTCAAACACAAAATCCTCCAAGCTTAACTCATCTTCCTTTCAGAACCTGCGCGATCTGGTATTCTGTCTCAGAAAATGAAATCATTGTTTATACAGTTGCCCAGCCAGAAAACCTGCAGTCTTTCTGAGTCCTCCCTTTCCTCCCTTCCCACACTGCTAATTTTGTATATCTACCATCTGTTCCCATGTCTGTATCTCAACTGCCATAAACATTCAGGACATCTTCTCTCACCTACATCATTAGAGCAGCCTTCTAACAAATCTTTCCTTATTGAATCCCTTCTTACACTGCCAATACTGATTGTCTTAAAATGCAAATCTGATCATATTATATCCCTCAAAATTATTTTATGGCTTTCCCACTGCCTCCAATATAGAGACCTACTCACTAAAGTTTATAAGTGCTGTCATGATCTCACCTCTGCTTACTTTTCCAGCTTCCACTACTACCCACTCTATACCATGTGCATCAGCCATTCTGTACTTTTTTCATTTCCTAGAATATGCCATTAAGCTAGGTGAGACCAAAGAGGTTGGTTTGCACTTAAAGACTGACTAGAACTTGGATTTTGTTCCAGATTACTTTCACTTATGCTTTGTACTAAATTAGCAAACAGGCAGCACCAAGACCATATACAGTGTAAACATTTAACCAAATAGATACAACACTCTGGTGACTCCCTAGTTCCTCATGGAGATATGGCCATAATTCAGTTGTCAATGTAGTATATACACAGTAAATAGTATGCCAGGTCATGCATAGAAGCTCAGTAGCTTTTGTGTCATTAGGCAGGGTGAGGGGCCATGTTAATATTCAAGAGTCTACCTTCTACCATATAAGGAAAGTTTTGTTATATCTAAAAGCATGAACTATTTTTTTTCTGTGTCATTCAATCACAACAGTTCTTACCATGATCCTCCAGTCATGTTTTCGCTTACTTCCTGGCTTTGTTCTATTGCTGGCTCTATATGCGCAGTAATTCTCAGCCTCGCTTCTCTTGAATGACTCTTAGCTATCTTTTAAGACTCAGATCAAGGATCACCTTTTCTAGAACATTTTCCTTGGTTTGCCTTAGTATCCATCTTGAGCATCATTTTTTATAGTCCTTAGTGAATTGATTTTTAAGTGTTGGTCCGTTTACCTGTCTACTGCTAGATATAAGCTCCATTAGAGTAAGGACCATGTTTTACTCATCTTTATTTTTGTAGTACCTAGCAAAGATATTACCACATTGTAATCATCTAATATATATAGAAGGAAAAGAGAAGGAGGGAGGGGAAAGAGTTCTTTAATGATCCAATATAAGGTCTGGAAGAATAAAGATAATAAATCATATTTTGGAATGTGTGTGTTTTGTTGATTTTCACCAGGTGCTTTTATATCTCCAATGTTTAGTATAATTTATTTAAATAAAAGTGATTTATTAAAGTCACTCTAAGGAAAGAATGTTTATAATGGACATCTGTTTCAAGGCGTTCAGCCTGGTTTCTTTACCTATCACTAGACTTTCCTGTTTCCAACTTATATAGCAATATAAAATTTACTGCTTTAGGATACATGCCTCCTATAGGAATCATGTGTGTTAGAAACCGATATTTATTTTACAAAACTGTAATTCTTTCTGCTCCTGTAAAAATATATTTTTAGTATTTACCTTATACCACACCCTGTCCCTGGAATTTATTCATTTACATGCCTTTACTAAAGTGAACACAAACCATTTAATCAAATCTCTATGAAAGTTACCCAAAGAGTGAAGACCAAACATGTAGATTTTTCTATGAAAATGTCAACTTTTAAATTGCTCTCTTGATATTTGATAGTAAAGTAGTAAAACAGATTTTTTTTGGTAGA